GAAGCTTGAGCAAGGGAGACCTCATAGCCCACCACACAGTGATGTACTCACTCCAAGGCCACACCTACTATTAGTGCCACTCCCTATGAGTTTATGGGGGTCAATTACATTCATACTACCACAGTATGTTTGTATGCCATGTACATGTATGATCCTTGGAGGCCAGGCAGGGCCACAGATCCCTTGGAGTTGGAGCAGTCACCTGATGCAGGTCTTGGGAACCAAACTGGGGTCCTCTTTAAGTAGAAAGTGCCCTTAGATGACCAAGCCATCTCTCCAGCCCATGTTTGTGATTTTTTTTTCCCTTGGAGCTTGACTGCACAGTTCTCAAGTGTGAATTTGTAGATGAGAATATTGACTTCTGATATCAAAAGGCTGAAGAAGCCCGAGTCTAAAGCAGTGCCCGAGTGAGATGTGTTGGTGGGAGAGTGTATCCTGTTCTCCAGAGCTGTCCAGATGCACGAGCTTACCTGCAGAAGCACACCCAGGGGTCTGCCACAGCACAGGAGCAAAAAGAAGTCTCACCACCACTGCCCCGTGGCCACCACCACAATCATGATCAGCATCACCATCGTCATCCAGCATGGGGTCCTTTAACTTCCAGCTCCTCTCACACATTCACATATTCAGTCACTAGGGGGAGGTAATAGACAATGCATATAAGCAAACTCAGTCCTGGAAGGAAAGTCTTTTTTTTTAAGTGATGCTTGGGGACGTAGCATAGGTAAACAGAGGTTTGTTTTCAGGGCTGGCTGCCCTCCTCATTGAGGTTAGAGCTTTGGTCACACAAAGGCAGCTTCCTCTGTCACCAGCATGTCGGCTCAACAGCCTTTTTCTACTCTGACTTCTTGCCTGTGGGGCTCTACCTGTGGTGGTTTCTGTTTCCTCTGGGGTGCCTCACCCTCCCCATCCCATCCCATCGCCATCTGAGCCTGCAATTGGCCTGCAAAGTTCCATGTGACTCCCCTGGGGGCCTCTGAGGTTGGCCTGTTCGGATACTTTGCATACTACGCTGGATATTTCTAGTTCATCTCATCCCCACTTTTCTTCTTATGGGAATTTGTTCTTCTCTCTTTCCATTATTCTGAGATTCCATCTGTCTTCATTTCCATTCTGCCTGGTGGAAAGAATTGCCAGACCACGTTTCAGGCCTGTAATACCAACCAGTGAGTGCCTAGTTGGCCTCGAGGCCGGCAGACCCCTGCCATGCCTTTCCTGGAGAGGTGGTAACTTCAGGTAACCTGTCGGCCTGTAAGTAAAAGGCTGTTTACTTTGTAGCACTGTGGTTGGCCACATTCTGTTTCCTCCGTTCCTCAAGGGTTTCCTGAGGCCAGTTCCAAAGTTCTTCTGTGAATACACCCTCACTGGGACTGCTCTGCTCCCCCAGATACGTGTGACATCTCCCCCACCCCAGCCTCAATGGATTCCTCTGTGGTTTTCCTGAGCTAAAATCACAGCATTCCTGGTCTAGTAGGTCTACTATCAACACAATTCTGTAGACAGACGTAAACACCAGGAGTGTATTCCCTACCATTCTGGATGTGAGAAGTCTGAGATTGGGGCAGGCGTGGTTAGGTTCTGGTGAGGACCTCTTTTGGGTTGCAGATGGCCTGCTTCGTGTCCATGAAGATGGGTGTCCCAGACCACTTCTCTTTATGTGCTGAAAAGAAAGTAAGAGAGCACGTGGCCCCTTTTACTGGGGTACCAGTCCCACTGATGAGGGCTCAGCTTTCGGGATGTGCTCATCTCCCAGGGCCCACACCTCTCCTTTGATTTGTTTTTGTTTTGTTATTTCGGACAGGTTCTTTCTATGTAGTCCTAGCTGTCCTGGAACTTGCTATGTAGACCAGGCTGGCCTCAGACTCAGAGGTCCATCTGCCTCTGCCTCCCAAGTGCTGGAATTAAAGATGTGTGATACCATACCCAGCCCAAGGCCTAACACTGGGGGCTTAGAATTTGGGGGACACCGATATCCAATCCTTAACAGGTTGCTCCACCCGAGGGAAGAGTGGTTTTTTAAATTTTTTAATGAAGTGACTCAGTTTTGCTCCAGCCTTCATGAACTGCAGGGCTCAGCTTCCTCTTGGTTGCCTTTCTCACCTCAGGGCTAGCAGAGGTAACCTTGCATAGTGGCCCCAGATCTTTGCCTTGACAACCTGCTCTCCCCAGACAATTGTCCTAGTTAGGTTAATTGTCAATTAGACAAAGCCTAGAGTCCCCTGAGTGTAGCCGTAAGTTTCTCCGGTCACATGTTTCTCCAGTCCCGCCCAGGCCTGGGGTCCTGCAGCTGCTTATAAAATAATTACACAGAGGCTTGTATTAATTACCAGTTCTATGGCCTATTGGCTCAGGCTCCTCGCTAGCTAGCTCTTACAACTTAACTCAGCCCATTTCTATTCATCTATGCGTTGCCACGTGGCTTTGTGGCTTACTGGTACTTTCACATCTTGCTTCTCCTGGTGGTGGCTCGAAGCATCTACCTCACTCTCCTCCTCTCTCTCCAGTTGGAATGCACTGCCTAACCTTATTCTGCCTCACCATTGGCTAAACAGCTTTATTTATCAACCAATAAGAGCAGCACATATTCACAGTGTACAGAAAGACCTCCCACAGCACCTGAGAGGGGTGCTTTTAGTCCTATGTCCACATGACACAAGCTAGAGTCCTCTGAGAGGATAGAACCTCTGTTGAGAAAATACCCCCATAAGATCACACTGTAGGGCATTTTTTAAATTAGTGATTGATGGGGAGGACCCAGCCCATTGTGGGTGGTGCTATCCGTGGGCTGATGGTCCTAGGTTCTACAAGAAAGCAGGCTGAGGAGGCCAGTAAGCAGCACTCCTCCATGGCCTCTGCATCAGTTCCTGCCTCCAGGTTCCTGTCCTGCTTGAGTTCCTGTCCTGACTTCTTCAGTGATCAACAGTGATGTGGAAGTGTAAGCCAAATAAACCCTTTCCTCCCCACCTTGGTTTTAGGCATGGTGTTTCATCACAGCAATAGTAACCCTAACTAAGACAGCCTTATTTGAGAAACTGCCTAAATCAGATTGGCCTGTGGGCATGTCTTTAGGGGACTGTTGAAGAAGGAGGAGAGCCCTTCCCACTGTGGGTGGTACCCTTTCCTGAGCCTGTGGTCCTGGGCTGTAGAAAAAAAAGAAATAGCTGGGCAGGAGCCCGAGTGAACCAGCAGGCAGTGTTCCCGTGGCTCCTGTACCCAGGTTCCTGTTTGCGTGCCTGCCTTGGCTTCCTTCAGTGACGGACTGTAACTGAAATGAACCCTTCCCTCCCTGTTGCTTTGGTCAGTGTTTTTATCAGCAACAGAAAAGAAGCCAGAATGACAAGTAAGGATCCAGTAGTTGTGCCTGCTTCCCACTTCCGCTACAGCAGGTCACACCTTCCCATAGCCTTCTGGACTATTTGCCAAGCAAATAGCATTTTTAAGCCTGCCTATAGATACTTTGCATGCATGCAGACCGCGGTCAGGCCTGTCTTCATGGTTCTGGCCAAGGATGAGTCCCTGTTGGTATTTTTATAGCTTCTTATGTTGTCAGTTCTTCATGGTCCTTCAAGCTCTTGCTTTTATTTTAAGTACCACTATAATGTGCTCAAAACTGAAGGGTGTAGGATTAGCTTGAAGGAGTTCTTTTAGCCAAGCAAACAAAACTATCAGTCTATACTTATACCAAAATAAAAGGGGAAGAGAGAAGGGAATACCTCCTTAAAATAATTAAATTTTTGTGCACCAGGTGCATGCAGTGTTCACAGAAGCCAGCAGAGGGTACTGGATCCCCTGGAACTATAATTCCAGGCCATTGTGAACCACCTTGTAGGTACTGAGAACTGGATTTTGGTCCTCTGTAAGAGCAGCCAGTGCTCTTAGCCACTGAGCCAGGTCTTCAGCCCCTGAAAAGCACCCCCCTCTTTGGTAGAGGAATGGCAGTTAATGATACAAAGGAATGGTAGAATTGAAAAACACCACTTCAATCATCATCATAATAATTCAGGAGAGGAATTTTAATAGATGCTAAAATCATTGAGTGAAAGGTTGTTCGGAACAGCATATTCTGTTTCAAAGTACTGCCTGGTAGATAACTTGCTAACTACACAAGAAAAGGTGCCCTTTGTGGTGTTGAAATCTGGCAGATAGCGTTTACTTAAATGACCAGACTTTGTTTCAGTGGTGGCTAAGTCCACACCTCTGGTGTGGCATGTGAGGACACAACACTTCCTGCAGAAGATTCCTGCCCCAAATGACAAATCTGAACCGAATCAAGAAGAAACAATTACATAAATCTAAATCAAGGGATATTCTGAAGAAAAAAAAAAACAGTTGACCTAGACATTTCAAAAAGTCATGGGTAAACCCACAGCCAGTCAAAATGCAGAATTGTGGGCCACAGTCCCATTGGATACATCTACAGAACATTCCCACACCCGAGGCTCAGGGAACACTCAGGAAGAGGGGGCGGAGAGATTGTGTCAGAGGATCAGTGAGTTTGCTGTGAGATTGTGTCTCCTAGTAATATCAGAAGCCGCACCCACCATGTTTCAACCACACGACTGCTCAAACATGAGCTGAACAAAGACAACAACAACAGACTTGTCAAAGTAGATAAAGAAAAGTGGGTAGACCCCGCACAAAGAACTACAGGTGCCTAAGGAGTGAATGCTGGGCATGGGAGAAACAGTCTTCCTCGCGGAGGAACACACCAATTGGTTACCCACCACCAGACGGTCCAGAACATACACACACGTACAATTATACAGACTGTGTAGGCTGTATTTAGGAATACATATACACATTTATGCATATAGCCACAATAAATGAAAAAAGAGGCCTTGAATTTGAAAGAGCAAAGAGGGATATATGGGAGGGTTTGGAGGGAGAAAAGGGAAGGGAGAAATGATCTAATTATATTATGAATACAAAAAAGTCAATGGTATAAAGGACAAAAGCTGCCCCAGATTACAAGAGATTAGCAAATAACTATTGTCTGAGCCATTATCAAAAGAACAGTGTAAGGAAAACGGTAAATTGTAGTAGTATATCCATGCTCAAAATTACAGTTTGGTTAATAAAGGAAAAATTAAAAAGAAAAAATAATTATGTATGTTGTTACCCCTAGCCCTCAATAGTTATTGAGAGACAACACTTATGGGTTCCAAAGATTTTAATAATTCACCACATAAGCAGGTCACTGATCGATCAGGGCTGCAGGACAAAGACTCAGGAGCCTTGTTTCTCCTGACAGCCCCAGCAGGAGCAGAATTGGGGTTTATAAGCACAAACATCACAAGCATTTGTTGTCAAGTTATGGTTACAGTTTTCACCAATCAAGATTTAGAGATACAGTGCAAGCCTTTCAGTCCGACCAATCAGATCCATTTGTTCCTTCTGTGGTTAGGAATGGCCATGATGTTTCTAAAGAACTAAAGATGTATGACGACTATTTCTATGGTTTAAGGAGGAGGTGGATCAGCCATTGGAAGGTTCCCAAGTTGTAGGGGAGCTGGGAAACCTGAACTGTATTTTACCCTGCGGATAAGAGAGTCTGAAGTCAAAATGCCAACACTCAGGCCAAGGTGCTTTTGCCTGCTTGGGTTGCCTGGTTTCTCAGGATTGTGAGACTCGCCCTTTATTTTTGCCCTGTTCTCCTGGGATGCCTATTGAAGACAAGGATAGAGAGTGATTTACAGTGGCTCCTTTTCCATCTTCACCTCATGATCGAGCCTCAGTCTGTACCTAATAGTCTGAGCTAACAGATGATGGTGATGACAAAGACCATGGATTCTGCTTTAGGTTCCTGCCTTGAGTTCCTGCTCCGATGTCTGTCAGTAATGGAATCGGAAGCTGAAGTAAACCCCTTTGTCCCCTAAGTCGGTGTTTACCATGGCAACAGGAAAGCAAGCATCAGCCTAGAGAGGTAGACACACAAGGAGCCTTTGCTCACTAATCTTCAGACTGTCCATCTGGGTGATGGGTTAAAAGATGAAGACAGCTATGTTGACAATAGCTGTCTGGGATTGAGGGGAAGTGGTTTCCTTTTGCCAAGTGTCCTGTCGTTATATCTACTGCCTCTCAGTTCTCCAAGGATTGCACTGTCTCGGTCATGAAGATTGATTCTGGTAAAGCTCTGGTATAAAGCTGATGCCTGAAGCTAACGCTCTGAGTCTCTGCTTCTGCTACCTTCTGGACATGAATGAGCATCGTGCCACAGGGTGCGGGATCCTGGCTTCTCTAGGACAATGGGACATTTGATGCAACTCAGAAATTACCCAACAAGATTGAGGATGGGTAAATACATCCTCTCTCCAGTCTTCCCTTGGATGGACAGTCTGATGCTGCCTTTTCCTTCTCTATAGTCTGGCCAGCGATGACATGTGTGACTAAGAAGGTGTACTCACCAAGAAATAGCTGCATCTCCTTAAGGCTTGTTGGGAAACAGCAGACAGCACAATGAAACATCAAACTGTACAAACTCCCTACCTTGCCTGACTCCCCCACTCCCTTCTCTTTCATTGTCACTCATTTTATGTCCTAAAGCATTGGCTCCCCTACGTTTTAAAGAAATCCAGAGTGGGGAGTCATCGGCATGGGCTTTAGTGTTCAGAGTGAAGTTTTGTTTGAACTCTATTCAAGACTTCTCTCCTATACCTTTCCGTTTTAATATCAAGCTGTCGAAAGAAGCAGAGCCCAGTACCTCTGATGTGGAAGGGATGGTCTCTGCACGGGCCCTTATTTCCACTGTCCTCACGGCAAGTTTGAGCAGGAAGGTGAAAACCATGACATTGGCTACTATCTTTCATTCCTTGCTTACTCCGTGCTGATTTGGTAGCCTCACTTTTTCTTCTTTGTCTGCGCACTTGTAGACATGCCCTCAGCCTTCACATGGCATTGCATCAAGAGGATCCAAATTCCTTTGGCTGAGCTTTGTGTTTTTCCATCCTAATATGTTAAATGGTGACTCAGTCCCCCGGGATCTCAGATCCCTGCTGTGAATTGGTGGTATTAGAAAGTTATGGTCGTAACTTTCCATTCTAATCACCCTGAATGAGTTCCTCTGCTCTGATGTGACTGCCAAGTTCCCGAAAGATCCTTCACAGATGAGTTCCAGACAGATGAGTGTTTTTGTCAACAGACAGAAATGAAAATTGGAACTTTGAGTCTACTGGGTTAGGGGTGCTGAGACTGAACCATACAGGGACACTGCCCTTGTATGGTTCTTACCTCGACATTTGGTCACGCACTGGCCCTACTATGGAGCTATCTCATTGTGAAGAGCCGTGGGGTTAGTAGAGGTGTATATTTCAGATCTCTTCCAATTGGCTTATGAACAGCAATGACATAACCTAGGATTTTATGAGCTCATGAATCTTGAAATCCCAGTACATGCCTTTGGAGTTTAGAAAATAATCCCAAGTTTTTCTGAGATATTACAGTGAAAACACGGAGAAGAGCCTTCTGCCTCCAAGCTGTGGAGTCTCCACTCTGAGCCTTTGCAATTGTATGATAGAAGTTGCTTTATTTGGGGAAGAAGAAGGATTAGTCTACGACTTTGGGGTCCCTCGGGCTGGGTGGGAACAGGTCTTCGATGATCAGAGAAAGATGGAAAATGACCATCAGAAGCAAGATGGAAAAGGTCCTTGATGGTCAGAGCAAGCGAGCCACAGTATACAATCCACCTGAAAATCTCAGGCAGTCAGCTCAGAGGAGCTGTGTGGGAACCAGGCCCTCTGAACAGAGCTAGGAGCATCTCCTGAAGCCGTGACCTCTGTGGAGTCTCCTAAGGAGCCCCAGTCTGAGAAGCATTTACTAGAACTGCAGGGGGTGTAATGGGGGATGGGAAACAGGGTGATGTCCCAGGATGTCTGAGATTTAAACCTGTTTCCACATGAAAAAAAAAAATTAGAGGCAGGCTGAGTTCCAAGGCCCCACTGCCCAAGCCCTGGGTCTCTTTCTCCATCTACTGCCAACTCTAATACAGATTTACCTCTCTGGGTTGTTTAACTCCCTTTGTCTGGTTTCTAAAGGAGACAGGATAAATTTAGGAGCCATGTGGACAAAATGGTTCCCATGTAGGGGCTTCTAGGATCAAAAGAATCCTTTTAGGTTCGGGAGTCTGGGTTTTTTTGGAAGGAGAATCCCCTTCCTCCATGGTGGATACTACTTTGCTTAAGGATGAACATAAGGAAGGCATGTCTATTTCCAGGGACAACCAAGGTTAAGGCAGACTGAAGTATCTGGAATCGAAGACTTTTTATTAAAGGGTTCTTTGGGGACCACAGACTTGTAAACAGAGACGTGTCCTCAACATTTTCTTGGTCATATCTCTGGTGCCAGGGTGTCTGGCTGCTGTTTCGTTGGGAGCTGCGTCCAGAATTAACTACAGATTACTCAGCCTGGGTCTGGTTTCTCTGTCTCGGTAGACAGCAGGACTATGAGCTGATGGTCCCCAAAGGCCTTCTAAATGCAGACACAGCATCTCCTCAGCCGCTTTCTCCTGCTTTGCTCCTCTCTGTGTGTATTGGTGATAGCTGGGCCAGGCCATCCCTATAGAGGTAACTGGGTAAGTTTCAGAAAGCAAGGGGCAAGACAGCATTTTTTTTATGGTGTCCCAATTTTGGTGGTTTTCTGACTTGTGTGTTCTCTTTTCTCCCTGACTTCTTTCCTGCATTTCTTTTCCTTTTCAGGTAGGTGAATGAGTAAGGGTTCTGTTAGGCTATCAAGGCACCCAGGAGAGCTGGGGTGCTGGTGGGGTACCAAGGGTCAGTGCTGAGATGGGAAAGTCCTTCACAAATGACACTCAAGACATTTCTGTAAGGGAGCTGCTTCTCTGTCTTAGGTCACACTAGATACACGCTGATCTCTCCAACTCGCAGGTACCTCCTGGAACAGTGATTTTCAAACAATTTAAGAGTCTGACCTCTCCACAGCCCTGTACATTCAACAGAGAAGATGGAGTGACGGGGGTGTGCAGGTTTTCCATCCTTTTGACGTTTTTCTCTCCCCTTTCTCTTGGCAGTGCTCCACAGGCCCATCCACAGCACCTGACACCTGCAGAACGGTGGAAAGCTCGAACTGTGCTTGGAAACGTGGAAGACATTTTCCAGATCATGACACTCTTTAAGGCTAGGTAGAGATCTCTGGTTTCACCAAAGCGTGTGAGTGTGTCACCAACACCAGCGCTAGTCTCTACAAAGCCATTTGATACTTGGAGCTAGTTGCTCCCTAGAAGAAAGTGACAAGTTGTGTTCTATAAAGGGCATGTAGAAATGTGGATGGTGGTGATGGAGGCACCCATTTCCACCACAGCCTCTGTGTCCCAGCTCAGAATACCACAGAAGCATAAGGATGACTTCTCGGAAGCTACAAATCTGCTCCGGGCGCAAAGAGAGAAGTTTTGCCCATCACTTCTTCTGAACCAAAGATCTGTAACAATCAAAAGCCATAGGAGCTCTTTGGTGTCACAGGGGATGCCATGAAGGGCATTGACAGCAAAGTGGTAGCTTTGACAACTTACGTAATTGTTTTAGAGCGTATGTGTTTAGATATGTCTCGACCTCCCCCAACAGTTCTGTCTCCTGGAGTTTTCAATTCACAGTCCTCGTGGGTCCGCAGACTACTCCCCAAGCACACTGGTTGCTGAAGTTTTCTCTATAAACATAGCTAAGGAGACAGGGAGCAGCTGTGTCACATGTTTCTGTGACTGATGGGCTTGTGTGGGATTCTCACTGCTATGGTTTATAGTCTGTCTTGGATACTAATGCATAGGAAGCTTCCACTCTAATGTGGCAATGTGAGATGTGCTGGAGCCTTTAAAAGGAGGGCCTCAGTGCAAGACAGATGGGTGATGGGGGTACCACCTTGGGCAGGCACTGAGTCAGTCTCGAAAGCTCTTGGGTCATTATAAAGGAGCAACATGACCCCTTCCTAGCGTCTCTGGCTTCCCACTCACAATGGAATCTCTCATTTTTACACCCATTCCCACCATGATGCCATCTGCCATAATATTGTGTGGGCCTTTACCAGAGGCCAAATGGACTGTCAATCTCTAAAACCATGAACTGTACAAACAAACCTCTTTTCTTTTCAGCCTCAAGTATTTATTCAAGCAACAGCAAAGGGACTAATACACTAACCTACTCTGGAAAGCTGCTACTGTACCTTCAGCCTTCACTTGGAAGTAGTGACCATTGTTTATGATCACAAAATTATAACTTGCAGCTCATGTTATCATGTGAGAGAAAAAAATAAAGCTATGGACTTAGAAATGGCTCATGGGCTTACTCTAATAAATTCCATCCCATTTCATTGCAAATATTTCTGAGAATTCAGGAAGGGAAACCCAGCAAGTTCTATTACTTCATCCTTGAGTAACTGTCAATGGTTATGCATCTAAAACACACAGAGAATTACATTAAATGTATTTTTCACCTATAAAGAAATGTGTTTTGTTTAACAGAGTATAGCTGTGACATCTTGGGGTTTGTGTAAGCTACTGGGTCCTACTTGACAAATACATAAATATAGAATTCAAATATTTCTTTTTTGTGTGTTAAAATGAGACATACTCAGTTGTGTCTTCCATTCCTTGGTCCTTTAACACTGATAGCAAATGTGGGACTGGATAGAGTCCACTGCCCCATCTGTGGGGTCCTCACCACCCCTGCTTTGCTTCTACATGGACATTTCTCTGACATTCCAATCCAAACCGTTCCTGGGTCCCGAAGAAGGCAGTGCTGTAATGAGGTTCGAGATGTGGGGTCTGGCAGGAGTGTCTTGTGTTAAAGGGTTGACATGGGACAATGAACCTCGTGATGAAAGGAATGTTGTTAACCACCACTTTCAACTGGTGGTGGTTTGCCATTCATCCATTCAATAAACATCAAATGGCAGCCTATGGGTTAGAATCTACCCCACTTTTCTGGACTGTCTTTACTTGCTCAAGTGTGTACCTGTGAGTTAATTGTTTATTCCTAGAGAGATGCTGGGTGTGATCCTGGATGGGAGTAAAACAGTATGTGTGAGTGAGCATACAGTTCCTAGGACAATCTTAAACAGTGGACCAATTGCATTTATTCATGTGCCTTTCCCATTCACTAAGATTTCAAAATACTGCCTGTATGTGAAAGTCATACTGAGGAGGCTAAGAACACAAGCTTCCAAATAAAACAGTCTGGCTTCAATTCTGATTCTGCTGTTATAGGGAGCCCACCAGAGAGGACCACTCAACTACAGTGTATAGCCAATAGAACGTCTTTATTCCAGTCAGGTGGGACCTCACCCAAGTGTTCAGGGACCTGGGTAGATAGTCTTAAGTATCCAGAACATAGGGTTTTTAAAGGCAGAAACCACATCCTGGCATCTCCCTCAGCAGCTGCAGGGGGGCTTCACAGATGTAAGGGATTTTCACAGAAGCTAATAAGGCAAATGATTGGGGGCGGGTGAGGAGGGGCTTCAACACAGATGCACAGATGGTTTCAACAGAAGCTAGGTTAGCTAGGACATCCTGACCTTTGGGTCCTAGAGTAGAGCAGGTAATTTTCCATGGGATTCTCCATCAAGGAGATCAGATTCTAGTTAAACCTGGAATGACCTCAGCGTGAACACAAGATGGAGGACTTTCTGTCCGGTGTTGTCCTCTCCCACTGTCCCTGGAATGTATAGGAAATTTTGAGCTCATGATGCCATGGTTCTTTCTCCTATAACATGAGGCTTGTAGGCAGACTTTTTTGGTTGGGACCATAAACTCCCCAATAATGTCACAGAAACATTATTAATTATGAAAACTTGATCAGTAGCTTAGGCTTGCTTCTAACTAGCTCTTATAACTTAACTTAACTCATTCTATTAATTTGCCTTTTTCTGCCTTGTGGCTTTATCACCTCATCTCCGTACTGCCCATCCCACTTGCTCTGCCTTTCCTGGCGTCTCTGCCTTTCTTCTTCCCAGAGTCCTCTGTGCCTGGAAATCCTACCCTGCCTCTGCTTCCCGACTGCTGACAGAGTGTGAGCAGCTGCCTCCTGCTGCCATGACTCCCCTATGATGGACTGTACCCCCAAACTGGGATAAAGTACACCCAATATCTTTACATTGCTCTTAGGTGTTTATCACAACAGTGAGAAAAGAACTAATACTGCCCACCCCGCTACCCTTTCAGAAAGGGTCTCAGTATGCAGTCCAGGCTGGCCTCAGGTTCTCAGCTTCCTGCCTCAGCCTTTGGAAAGCTGGAATTACAAGTGTCTGCCACCAGATCTAGCTGCTAACTTGCTGGTTCTTGTCTAAAAGCTGGCAGAGATGGGTGCTGGGCACAGCACACTCTCCTTCCTCCTTTCCTCTCATACAGAATGCTCTGGAGGATCGTGGTGGATGCCAGAGTTGGATACCGCATCTTCAGAACTGAGGAGCAACCTTGACGTTAATTCACCAGTCACTTGCGGGGTACCTTCCCTGTGTAGAAAGCACAGCCCTGGCAGTGAGCGAGTTGAGGTGCATGTGCGCACAGTCCATGCACACTTCCAGGAATGTTGTGTGAAATGTAGGAGACATAACTAAAAGCAGAGTCCTCCTCAGCCCACTGTGCTCCGTGGAAGCTTTTCTATTCTTTGTTTTGAAACAGGCTCTCACTATGTAGCCCTGGCTGTCCTGGAACTCACTCTGTAGACCGGGCTGGCCTCAAACTCACAGAGATCCTCCTTCATCTGTCTCCAGAGTGTTGGGACAAAGGTATATACCACTAGGCTCAACTTCCATGGAACTTTTAACATAGCACAAAGCCAAGTCTTACTACTTACTGAGACTATGTGCTTGGATCTATATATTTATTATATCATTTATTCTTCAGGGCAACTTGGTAAGTGAATCAGTAGATTATATTATTCCCATTTTTTTTTTTTTTTTAGATAGGAATCAGCCTCCAAGGATTTTAGTGGCCAGTTCAAGTTCAAAAGGCTGGTGAGTGGCAGGGGAGGTACAAACCAGATCTACCCTTAGTCTGGCTCAGAGGCACTCAGCAGCACTGTAGGCTTCCAGGCCAGAACACCTTGTTGCTGACAGGATGTCAGTCTGCAGAGCATTCCTCCTCCCTCTGCTGCCCTGACAGGCTTTTACATCAGACTGCTTCCTTGACTGAGAGCCATGCCTGAGATGGACCTACAGAGCATGACAGAAACCTTTGTGATTTCACTCCGTAAGATGTTGGAGTTGTTACTGCAGCATAACTTGGAAGATTTTTTTTGTTAGTTTTTAAGTATTTTTTTAAATAATTTGTTTTAAGTTAGCACACAAAGTAATAGGTGTCACTGTGGCATTTCCGTTTATACTTTGTTCTAGTTTGTCTCCCTCCCTCAACCCCTTCCCTGGCTCCCGGCACTTGGCTGGTCCTCTCATTCCAATTTAACCCCTTTGTGTCTGTTTCCTGCCACACATATTCCATTATTCCCTCTCCATCCCTCCTTTACCCTGCCATGTTTTCCTTTCTCATTTCATCAGCATGCGCGCACACACACACACACACACACACACACACACACACACACACACATTAATTTAAATCTAGCTTCTAGATTTAATTTTAATCTAGGTTCTGCATATGAGGGAAACTGTCTTTCTGAGTCTGGCCATTTTGTTTAATATGATTTCCTGTTTCAACCCATTTTCCTGCAAATGTCGTGATTTCTTTATGGCTAAATAAGTTTCCATTATGTATTTGCACCACATTTTCATTATCCATTCTATTGATATCTAGACTGGTTCCATTTCTTAGCTATTGTGACTAGAGCAGGAGTGAGCAATGGTTGTGCAGGTGTCACTATGGTGGGACTTAGAGTCCTTTGGGTGTGTGCCCAGCAGTGATATAGTTGGGTCACATGGCAGTTCTAGTTTTTGAGAAACTTCCACATTGGTTCCCCAGTTTATACCCCTACCAAAGAAGGAGTGTATGCGGGTTACTCTTTCCCAACATCCTTTGCCAGTATTTGTTGCCATTTGTTTTCTTGATGGCCGTTTTGTCAAGGATGAGATTGGAACTCAAGGTACTTTCAATTTGCATTTCCCTAACGAACATTTTCAAAAATATTGGTTGGCCATTTGTATTTCTTCTTTTGAGAGCTAGACAGTTCTCAGTTCATTAACCTGTTCATAAATAAGCAGCTTTGGATTTTTGGTGTCCATTTTTTTTGCATTTCTTTATGTGCCCTTTATATTAATCTCCTATCTGATGTATATAGCTAATAATGACCTTTTTTACCGTTCTATAGGCTACCTCTCCACTTGATTATTTCGTTCACTGTGTTGAAGCTTTTTAATTTAGTATAATCCTATTAGTCAGTGCTACTAGATTATTGTTCAGAAAATCCTCGCCTGTGCCTATACACTGAAGTATACTGCCTATAATTTCCTTTAATTGTTCAAAGTTCCAAGTCTTACGTTGAAGTCTTCAATCCCTTGAACTGATTTTTTTGTTTTTGTTTTTGTTTTTGTTTTTGTTTTTTTTGTTTTTCGAGTCAGGGTTTCTCTGTGTAGCTTTGCGCCTTTCCTGGAACTCACTTGGTAGCCCAGGCTGGCCTCGAACTCACAGAGATTTGCCTAGCTCTGCCTCCCGAGTGCTGGGATTAAAGGTGTGCACCACCACCGCCTGGCTGAACTGATTTTTATGCAAGGTGAGAGATATGGATCTAGTTTTGTTCTTCTGCATGTGGATTCCAGTAATCTCCTGCACTATTTGTTGAAGAGGTTTTTTTTTTTTTTTAATCCATTGTATGTGTTTGATACTGATATCAAAAATATAGTGGCTATAGCTGTGAAGGCTTATTTGGAGTCCTTTATTCTATTCCCTTGATCTATATGTCTCTTGTGAGCCTGGCAGATCTTGAATTCCAAATCTTAACGACTTGTAGACCAATCAAACACCTGGTGCATGGTAGTGCTTGGCTATTTACAGAAGTAGGAGGTTGATGCAGAAGGTGAGGAAGCAGAGGGTTGAATTCCAAATTCTCTTCTCTTTGATGATAATCTGATAAAACAGGCAGACAAAAGCACACGATGTAAAACTGTTTGTCTTTCTAACCAGAAAAATAATTACGACCTAACTTCTTTACTGCCACGTTCCTCTGAAGTCTGTTGTGCTCTGGCCCTATGGCCTAAGGGAGATCCTGCTGGGGATGTGGCTTTGCTTGCAAAGGCAGATTGAATTTCTTTCTGGCTCAGCTCATGCCTATCTGTCACCCAATTATCATCAATAAATATTTAAACATCAGGCCAGCAGCCCCAG